ACTTTGTTTGTGTATGTCTGGACTACTGGCTCTACTTCTACGTCTACACCAACACACACACACACACCCCACACACACGCACATGAAAGTCAGAAACTGGTAGCCTGTAATTAACTGCATTTTGCAACGTGTATAAGTAACTCAGTGTGAAGGTTTTCTACAAGACACTAAGATTAACACGAGGAAAAGAACCACACTCACGAATTCTGCAGATTGCATGTCCCCATTCGTAGTTACAGGGAAGATCATTCCATTTACCAATGGCCGTCCTGTCGATTTGAAATTAACATATTACATACATACGACGACAAACCACAATACTACACTCGTCGGTCTGTAAGCGTAGAAACCTTAGTTCTCCAAAACAATATGAACACACAAATTTCATCCTCTGTATTTTCCATAGTTTGGAATAATTGGTTCTCCTCTAAATCAATTACTCAATTAATTATAATTTACTGATTTATACGTCAATTGTGCACGAATGTCAAACGTTAAATCATGTTTATGTTGCATGTCGCGATGGTGGTGTTTTTTGTTTCGTCTCATAGCGATAGATAGGCAATGCTGTTTTTGGCCATAATAGTTGTTAAATATAGAGCGGCAAGATGTTTTTACTATTCAAACTTTGATGGAACCCGATCCGAACCTTCATATGTGATCAAATGGTGTGGATGTCCGATCTTGTAGATACCACAGTAAGGTATTAAATAATATAGCATCATGGGAGTTTGTGATATATTCTGGAGGGCGTCGTTTGCCATAGCTGGCAGACTGTTAATTATACCAATTTTCACGTGTTTGCTAATCACGCATTTACCAGTAGCGTATGCACAATTGTGATTCGCGCACTGTGCATCATAGAGATAACTCTATTGTTTAATTCCGGCCTACTGACATTCTCGATTTTGGCGCTATTGAGCACAGACCTGTGTCTTGTATATGACGCATAACCTCTGAAGGCTAAATATCCATCCGCCCCTTTTTTACTCAGCGTTTCTTCCGTGGAACTGTATACAAGTATTTTTCTGAAGTGTGAAATCTTAATATTGGTAGGGTTTCCGAGTTTGCAGTGTGTGTTTTACAACTACAATGCTTCTGACTGCATTAAATAATTATTGTCGTTTGTAACGTTAGCGGAGACTCTCTGGAAAATACACCGTTATCATGCCCAACTAGCACTCTCTGACAAATTGCTAATAATAAATATTGTCCTCAACTTACGTCATCTCTATACAGTGTTCAAACCCTAGATAATTGTCTGGTTGATTTGTATTCCAGTTATCGTATACAATTTCTGAATCGTCCCTGGCGTAGGTATATCTACCTTCGTGGTTTAGATCGGTAATACCAAGCCAATAATGACCTAAAGGTAAAATATGTATGTTAGGTAGAGGAATTTGATAAACTCACAGTAAAATATAATGAATCCTATTGCATGATTTTTTCTACCAAAGTATCAATGTGTGCAAGCATACCTGATACAAATAATGTTCTTATTGCGTCATTTTCCGCCTGCGAGCGAGGTTCCGCCAACCAACCACCTTTATTTTCGCATATCGTTTTTGCATCATACCAGTTCACTGGGCCATCAACAACTACATAATCTGTCGTTTGAAATGAATGAATAACAGTATAATAATAATAATAAAATTATATCTCATCTATCACCGTGGGGATATGTTTATTGAAAACGAAACGGATATATGCATTGCCATCTTGAATAACTGTTATCTGATTTCAAAGCAGCAGACATATACCAAGTGTCATCCACTTGTATACACCGTGACAACTGCTAACCCTTCACTCAGCTTTAATAAATGCCAAATTGGCACACAAATGACTACTGTAAATCATAGCATATCATGGTGAACGTTACCAGCCAGATCATAGCATTTGTCATAATGACATTTCGTATAATTTTAAATAATAATCACCAATTAACATAATATATAAAACCATATGATATTTCCATGTATATAGTCTGTATATGGATAGAGATAGATGTATGTTTGTATCATTCTACTGAAGGGAAAGCTGCCACGTTTATAGACATGAGTATAGGAAGGAGCGATCATCCTGACACGAACATTAAAGCGCGGTAGTCGTCGCGCTGCGCATTTGCGAGATATAGGGGTCTCATAGAAACAAAGATGGCCCCTAGGAATATTGCGCAGATCAACGTGTACGAACTGAGAAGTTTCCGAGCTTCAATTAGGTAATTTTCATGAGATTGGAAGGTATCGAAGGAGTCACCGGCGTTAATCAGTGCAAGTCGCGCCTAGGCCAAACCTCATATATGTGTTTTCCATTTGAAGAGCGCATTGGATTGTGGGAAAATCATTGTTTATCAACACAAATGTCGAGCATGAGCAGCGCGACGTACCGCGCTTTAAAACTCGCTTGAATCATGTTCTAATGTGACGGTGCTAGGCAGGATTAAAGACCAACCATTACATTCAATGATGAGCAGTGGTACACATGAAAACAAATAACTAGAAATGTTATACAGAATTATTCGTTTACGATTCACAAAGTCACGTTGGCATGCATTTACTGAATAATATATGTGTACATACCCGTCTCTTTAACTATTCGCTGTAAAAAAAATTAAATGAATACCAGGTAAATATATTTTTTCAACGAGGCGATCAAACTCTTTCGAAATTAAGTTGAATTAATTAAATTTAGTCACGGATGACACCATTTACCTAACTAGTGAGTACAGCACATTCATTATCTGGTCATACTATGAAGACACGTATTAACTTCATTGACATTTGACTCAAAACTGCACATTGTTTTGCGAGATCTCATATTGTAGAGCTGTATATTATCACGGGTCTACCTCTATTTCAGCATGGATGAATGTTCATGACTCAGACGTACAAACCACTTGCCGGGATTCATTCTTGCAGTGTTGCGACTGTGCTTAATTCATTTTGCTATATTTGATTTTAGGTTAGACGTGAAAAATGTATGGTAAAATCAATCAATATTGGTTTTAATGGGCGTTATCACAGAGATTGGTACAGTGAGCTTTGGGTACTTACAGAAGGACAGATGTTTCCGTAATAATGAGGGACAATCTATCATCTAAACATCATCGAGTGATTATTTCAGGTTGGTAAAAACGCATTGTTACTTCACTGTGTTAATGTATATGATACCTTACCAATGACTAATAAATAACTACATTCCAGAATTCCACTGTTGTTATAAGCAAATGCGTAACTCGATACTTTATGAGTTTTTAGGATCACATTGTGTAAAAGATTGATAGTTGATTGATAAATCAGTTCATCAACAATTTCAAAAGCTGTTAATAACATTTTACGTGGTTTTAGAAGTTTGAACATTTGAAGAGGATAAAATACCGCTTTGTTTATTTAATATGGCTTTTTAAATAAACACATTCAATGTCATTGCAAACACTGGGTTGAGCAAATAACCTTGGTGCACAGCGAACGAAAATTAAATGACATGTGTTTACATTTGCCTATTGAAAGAAAACAATACGTTTGGTCTAAATAAATGAGTAAACCTACCTGTTGTGGCACTGCGAAGGTAAAACTTGTAACAGCAAGGATTACTAACAATGGTAACATCGTTGCTGTATTTGATGAAATACTCTTCAATCAGATCTGTGTAGGAAATGTGGTTAAGCGATCGCCTAATTGATATATTTTGTCAACTCGCTTGATTATAAAGATAATTTTTTGACCACGTGCTTTATTTTGGATAATTCAACCATTTGAAATTATTTTCATTGGACCAGGAGAAAATTGAAGAAGTTAATCCGCGCATGCTCAGTTTCATTCATTACGCGAGGAATTCTAGCTCGAGGCACGCAGGCATGTATATGTTGATCATTGAGAGACCAGCTGCCATATGTCAGTATAAACACATTATTCATTCATTCATTCATTCATTCTATCATTCGTTTGCTAGCTCGCTCGCTCGCTCTCATACGCATCCCCACAAAAACACCCAAACACTTAACGTTCAAAGTTTACTTGTGTTTATATCATCTTGACCGATCTTATTTATTTCACACAGCTGCTACACATCTAAGTAGCTTAATTACAGCTCCCGGACAAGCTAAATAGAGTTTTTAGAAAGGCTAAAAACTGTCTTCAGGGAGACTTAATTTAAGTAACAACCTGAATCTGGAATTTAGCCCTCAAAATAAAACCTACCAAATTTTCAATCTATTTATTTATTTAATCTATTTGAAATTATCAGTCACGATAAATACACAATACATCCAAACATATTAAAATAGAAATGCAACAATGCGGGCCACATAGTATTGAACTTAATGAATCATTAGTTCAATCCCTACAGTATATACAAGTTCTTGAGTAAATCCGGTACGACTAGCGCTATTGATTTTGAAAACAAGTGATATTTCCTGGCGAGTTTTGTCGAAAATCTTTAGTATATTTTTGTTTAGAACGCAATATTTTTGCCACTACAACAATGTTCAACCTATTATAAAATCAGGAACAGAAAGAATCAAACCAAACATATAAGCTCATGCCAAGTCAGCAAACTGAATGAGTACGTTTGAATTTAGATCCCTGATAATTACTCATTGCCTTCCATTGTGCCGCTTGTTCGCCAACATGACGCAATTAAAAGCAATATATCGGAAGTGAACAGTGACATGGAATTTATACACCTTAAGAGATAATTCATACTGAATTGTTTGCCACAAACATATACCTATACAATAACGAAAGCCAGTTGCTCCAACGAAACAAAACTTGGAAATAAATGGACGACTAATTTAAATTCAACTGTTCATAGCTTGTAATGATATGCCACCATCATTCGCAAACTGAAATTTGTAGCTGCCGCGGTTTCCAGGTTGCACGATTTGACAAAGTTCATATTACATTTCAGTGTACATGTATTTATTAATCTTATAGTCTCCTCTATGTCATGCGGTACAATTGCCAGAATTATATGGAAGTCCTAATTGTTGTTTCATTAAATTATCACATATCATTCTTTAACTTCATATGTGAAACATCATCATCCCTTTCTCACAAACAGTGATTTAGCTACACTGAAAAATAAGTTAATTCTTTGCAATAAAATCTAAATCACTATATTACTAACACAAAACATCTTTCAGCTACACTGAAAACAAGATCATCCCCTGTAATAAAACATAAAGCCCTATATTACTATCAACAATTGTGTTTTATGAGGTAACATCTCCGTCATTTTCTCACAAAACCATCATTAACTACACTGAAAATAAGTTAATCCGTTGTAATAAAGCTCTATATTACTACCAACAAAAACATCTTTCATCTAAGCCCACAACAAAATGGAACAGATTTGAAATACAACTGAATTTCAAAGAGCCAAATAAACACTATCCTGCCTGCAGATCCATTCACTGATTTATTCAATTTCGGAACACAGGGTTTAATTTTTTACGCTTTAAACAAGTCGCGAATTGTGTGCAATAATCATATCATAATTTTTCACATTGTAACTGTGATTGGATATATTTTACATGTATATTTCGATATTCGCATGTATATTTCAAATTCCCCCGCATTTTGTCGGTTTTTTTGAAAGAAGATAATTACAATGAACTGAAAATAGTTATTACTTCCAGCTTCTGATTGTCGTCAACAAGGTGACCCAAGTCTTTAAACTTTCTTTAATAACCACGCGTACCTAAAGCAGTGGATAATAATTCATGGACAGGAAGACTCGAGGGGTCACAAACGTTTCCGGACACCTTAGAAATATAAGTTAACTGATGTTTCGGAAGATTCTACAAAAAAAAAATCAAAACTACACTCGGCTGCACAGTGACACTTTAGGGATAGTAGAATTACCGGCCAGTCAGTAATACGCCTGTAATACATTCAACAGTGAAGCGTGATTTTACAACATTTAACGAAACAATTATGTACACGCCACTTTGAAAAAAACAAAATAATAAAATACTCCATGGAAGGAAAAAGCTAAACGACATCAGTTTTTACTGAAACAATTAGCGCAAAATTTGTCAATGTCAGTCAAGTGATTGCTATCCAATCACTCTTACAATTTTTCCCTATGCCACACCTGAGTTCTAAACCGATATCATCTTTTGTTGCAGGCTTTGATGAATACAAACTACAAACAGTAGTGAGCAAATGGTAATGGGCAGCAGATGGTCCACATACACACACGCACAAACACACACACACACACACACACACACACACACACACACACACACACACACACACGCACACACACACACACACACA